CCAGCGAAAGGAGCAGGGGCCTGAGGACGAGGTGGCTCCGGGTTGCCAGCGAAAGGAGGTGGAGGTCCCTGAGGTGGAGGTCCCTGAGGATGAGGGGCCTGAGGACGAGGGGGTGGGGGCGGCGGCGGAGCTTGCACGATCCAGTTCTCCAACTTCACCGAATGGTCGTCTGCATGGTGCTCTTTGACCTTTGAGGAGTACTTGTCATCAAAGACAAAGTCGGCATCATTCCCTCCGTCATTACCGCTGATACCATCGTAAAAGACGGGGCCACCGCCGCGTTTGCGGAAGCGCTTTGGCACAGCTGGCGCAACCACGTGGTTCTCGATATCCACAGAATGGTCATCCTTGTAATGATCTTCGACCCCGGATGAATACTTGTTATCGAAACCGATATCGGCGCTGCCGCCACCATCGCTACCGGAAGGACCTCCAATGAATGCAATTCCGCCATCTTTGGCAGGTTTTCCAAAATCTTTGACCAAAGCCGGGTTAGCATGCTCATGATGGTGAGGAGTGCTAATCTGATTGCCTCCATCGTCGCGCTTCCGGAAGCCTGGCACCGGAGGAGGGTGGAAGACAGGGGGAGGATGGATGATAGTATTCTTGATGTCAACAGAGTGGTCATCCTTGTAGGAGTCCTTGACACTTGACGCGTATGAGCTGTCAAATTCAATGCTAGCACTGTTGCCGCCATCATTCCCAGATGGACCACCAAAGAACGTAACATCACCGTCTTTGGTATCATCATCACCTCTCTTGTGGAAACCACCCACTGGGGGAGGGTGGAAAACCGGGGGAGGATGGAAGACAGGAGCAGGATGGAAGACTGGGGGAGGATGGATGATAGTGTTCTTGATATCAACAGAGTGGTCATCCTTATAGTAGTCATCCACACTTGAGGCATATGAGCTATCAAATTCAAACCCAGCACTGTTGCCGCCATCATTCCCTGATATACCACCAAAGAAGGTGACATCACCGTCTTTGGTATCATCATCACCTCTCTTGTGGAAACCACCCACTGGGGGAGGGTGGAAGACCGGGGGAGGATGGAAGACTGGGGGAGGATGGATGATAGTATTCTTGATGTCAACAGAGTGGTCATCCTTGTAGGAGTCCTTGACACTGGACGCGTATTTGCTATCAAATTCAATGCTAGCACTGTTGCCGCCATCATTCCCAGATGGACCACCAAAGAAAGTGGTATCACCGCCACCTCTCTTGCGGAAGCCTGGCACCGGGGGAGGCTTGACGATATGGTTGGTGATGTCGACAGAGTGATCGTCCTTGTACCAGTCGTCCACCGCCGAGGCGTATGAGCTATCAAACTCGATTTCCGCGCTGTTACCACCATCATTTCCCGAATTGCCGCCGAAGAATGTGGTCTCCCCGTCATCCCTCTTCCGGAAACC